TCCTGTTTGTAGCGGTGTCTCCATTTAATTCTCCAGTCCTCTGTGGCTCAGGCAGTGAAGGAGGGGGGTGGGAAAGATTTAACTTACCAATCAAACTAATTCATGGTTCTTGTCATAGACTTAAAAAAAAAAAATCCTGTGAAAAGTGTCACAACAAGGAAGAAGATGTAAAACAATTCAACAAAGTTATTAAAAATATAACCAGCCGTGCACCGTGTCCCCCGTCCCTGACGGGTTTGAAGAGTGAATGTTGGTGGTTTTGAAAATTAATTTTTTTGACCAGGGAATTAAAGTAAACCTAAATGTTTTACAATCAAGTGGAGGAGTTACTGTGAAGAAGAACACAGGGGGGTGTTTTGTTCTTGTCTGAGGTGGAGCAGAGTGACGGATCCTGGAGACAGGGAGACAATTAATCCACCACCAGGTGCAGAGGAGGAACCAGGGGGTGGCCAATGGTGGCCATATAGATTAATCTTCAATCACTCCATGGATAGGGACCCTTCTTATTCCTAGATCCAGACACACACCAAAGTGGAAGTCAGTACCTCATTTACTTTTTAAAGTCAGTATGGTGGAAACACGGATGGACCGTCCGTCCAATTCCCCCTCTTCACTGTGCCACAGTAGAGCTGTCATTTCTAACCTGGGCCCGAAGCCTGGCCCGACCCGAATTTGGACCGAGCCATAATAATGTGCTGGATGGGCAGGCTGGGTCGGTGTTGGGATTTTGATTGTGTCAGCGGACGCGCACAGCTGATGATCCAATTATATGGCAACATGGCTTGCCATACATTCATCAACCACACGCAGCCATTTGACCGCATGCTGACCGACCTTGAAAGAGGTCAAATAAAGCTCAGTTAAGCTTCAGATGGGACTACCAGTACTGCCAGGAAACGATCCATCGCCCAAATGGACATTCAGCTGCTACACTCAGCGGACGCGCACAGCCGACGACCCAAACAGGTGAGCTCCCAAAGCAGATGTGTCAGAGCAGGGTCCATGTCTGAATAATGCAGAATGCAGGCAGAAGCAGGGATTTAATGCTCTTTGACAGCCATGAAAGGACAAACACCCCCTCAGCTCTGATCTTCTACCCCTTTTATTCAGCCGCACATCCGCCGACAGTTAATAACTATATATGCAGTCAATTTCTCCATCTGATATGTCCTCTCCTTGTAGAACCTCCTGATTCAGTCCCCGCAGGGACGACACATGGACAGGACAGACAGAGACACGGAGCTGAGTAAACGGAGCGTCAAGAGCCCAGAACACAGGGATGGACCAACATCTAAAAAATACTACAGAAGTGCTGAACCCAGACCCAGAACCCAGGCAGTTCTCATGAAACCGCTAACCTGCGTCTCTGACGGGGAGCTGTCTTTGTCCTGCCTCACAGACCGGGTCAGAATCTGTCCCGCTCAGAGACGACATGAGCTTTGTGTTCTAGATATTATTTCATCCACTCTTTAAACCAAACATCAGGAGGACTCTTCTTGTGTTACTTAAGTAATTTCTGAGGACCCTCACTTGGTATTTGAAGACCCATAGTTGGCTCCCGACCAGAGAACCACTGAAAATGAAGTGTCCTCCTCTTCAGGGTCTCAGACAGCTGAATCCAGCAGTCATGGTGCCAGAAGCAGAGGAGGTCTGGACAGGTCTCTGTCCATCCGAGGGACACTTGGACAGGTATCTGGTCCATCTGGTCCGTGGGGAGTGGTGGCGCAGAGGTTAGAGAGGTGGGCTTGTGATCCGAAGATCGCCGGTTCACGCCCCGGCCCCGACAACATCAAAAATTGTGGGTGGGGTAGGTGAAACACCCACACTTGCCCCCACCCTCATTCGCCCCACTCTGGGCCCATGAGCAAGGCCCTTAACCCCACCATGTTCTCCCTAAACAGGTCTCTCTTGAAAATGAGTTCCTGTGGCTCAATGAGACTAACCTGGATAAATAAAGGCTAAATGAAAAATGAAAATTACGGGGACACCTGGACAGGTATCAGGTCCATTATGGGGACACCTGGACAGGCATCAGGTCCATCACAGGGACACCTGGACAGGTATCTGGTCCATTACAGGAACACCTAGACAAGTCTCCGTTCCATCACAGGGACACCTGGACAGATCTCCGGTCCATCACGGAGACACCTGGACAGGTATCTGGTCCATTACGAGGACACCTGGACAGGTATCAGGTCCATTATAGGGACACCTGGACAGGTATCAGGTCCATCACAGGGACACCTGGATAGGTATCTGATCCATTACAGGAACATCTAGACAGGTATCAGGTCCATCACAGGGACGCCTAGACAAGTCTCTGTTCCATCACAGGGACACCTGGACAGGTCTCCGGTCCATCACGGAGACACCTGGACAGGTCTCTGGACCATTACTTGGACACCTGGACAGGTCTCCTGTCCATCACAGGGACACCTGGACAGGTCTCTGATCCATCACATGGACAACTGGACAGGTCTCTGATCCATCACGGAGACACCTGGACAGGTCTCCGTTCCACCACAAGGACACCTGGACAGGTCTCCAGTCCATCACGGAGACACATGCACAGGTCTCTGGACCATTACTTGGACACCTGGACAGGTCTCCTGTCCATTACAGGGACACCTGGACAGTTCTCTGGACCATTACTTGGACACCTGAACAGGTCTCTGCCCATCACAGAGACACCTGGACAGGTCTCTGATCCATCACAGGGACACCTGGACAGGTCTCTGATCCATCACAGGGACACCTGGACAGGTCTCTGATCCATCACAGGGTCACCTGGACAGGTCTCTGATCCATCACGGAGACACCTGGACAGGTCTCCAGTCCATCACGGAGACACCTGGACAGGTCTCTGGACCAGCACTTGGAAACCTGGACAGGTCTCCTGTCCATTACAGGGACACCTGGACAGGTCTCTGGACCATTACTTGGACACCTGAACAGGTCTCTGCCCATCACAGAGACACCTGGACAGGTCTCTGATCCATCACAGGGACACCTGGACAGGTCTCTGATCCATCACGGAGACACCTGGACAGGTCTCCGTTCCATCACAGAGACACCTGGACAGGTCTCCGTTCCATCACAGGGACACCTGGACAGATCTCCAGTCCATCATGGAGACACCTGGACAGGTCTCCAGTCCATCATGGAGATACCTGGACAGGTCTCCAGTCCATCACGGAGACACCTGGACAGGTCTCTGGACCACTACTTGGACACTTTGACAGGTGTCCTGTCCATTACAGGGACACCTGGACAGGTCTCTGGACGATTACTTTGACACCTGGATAGGTCTCCTGTCCATTACAGGGACACCTGGACAGGTCTCTGGACCATTACTTGGACACCTGAACAGGTCTCTGCCCATCACAGAGACACCTGGACAGGTCTCTGATCCATCACAGGGACACCTGGACAGGTCTCCGTTCCATCACAGGGACACCTGGACAGGTCTCTGATCCATTACTGGGACACCTGGACAGGTATCTGCCCATCACAGAGACGCCTGGACAGGTCTCTGATCCATTACAGGGACACCAGGACAGGTCTCTGGACCATTACGTGGACACTTTGACAGGTGTCCTGTCCATTACAGGGACACCTGGACAGGTCTCTGGACCATTACTTGGACA